TTTCAACAACGACCTCTCTATGATTCGTTTTTCCCATTCGAAACCCAATTCTTAGAATTCGGGTTGCGTATCCTCATAGGAAGTTCTATATTATTGGGCTTGAATCCATTCCCCTCGATAAGCACTAGACCTTGGACTATGATCATAACTTTTCCTCCAACTTTTGCTTTTGCCAAAGGCTTAGTTGGTGGTATAGTGGGTAATGAAGAGATTTAACTCATTCTTATTCTCACTTGTTCACATCAACCCACATGTCTACTAACTCATAAAATTCACATTCATATTTCTCATATTCCCAATTCATGGTACCATAATTTTGATATCAAATTGGGTTAGTGAACCACCATTTCCTTTCTATACATGTAGAGACATGTATTTAAGAATTTTTTAACTCAAACACCATTGTACCTCGTTGTACAATAGGAATGTCCATGGTAGCATATCCCTTCTATTCAAGTAAAGTGCCTTATCCTTTTTCATCATACACCATTATACCACAATTGTATAATAGGAGTGCATATCACATTTACTTTGTTAAGCACCATTATACCTTATTGTATAATAGAAATGCTATGCAAAATCTCAATTAGGCAGCGTTAGTCTCATCACCAAAACTATTATACAAGGATATCACAATCCCCCACATTGGAAGCATCTCAAATATGTGATTTCCACATTTCTCAAATAATTGAGTTTAAAGAAAAACTTGTTCATTTCCATGTCAACCACATTTGTATTCCTTCCTCTACTATTGCTTACATAAACTTGAAGGCTGGAGCATTAAAGTTGCCTGGTGTTGTCTGCTAAAGTCGCTCTTTCACAAAATTTGGTAGTTGATTGTGAATCGCCATTCCATACCAAATTTATTTAGAGAAGAAGGTTTATATACCATGAAAAACTTGGAATCCCAACAGAGAATGTAAAGAGGGAGAGCATTGAACTATTGCAAGACATTGTGAAGAAAATAACGAAACGTCCTAAAAATTGATGTTTCTCGTAAAATAAATAGAAAATAAAATAAACAGAAGATTTGCAAAAAACAATTAATTAAAGATGAAAATGAAAAGTAGAAAGATGTCACCGAAAGTATGAGGAGCTTGAGCTAAGGCATGGATCAATCACTCTCTTTAGGACATTTCGTGCCACTAGTACAGTATATTTTTATGGTCACACCACCCCCAGAATACAACAGCTCAACCTCGTTGTTGTATCTTTACAAGTACTGCACTCTTGTAAAGAAAGCTTTATCCTGCCATCTTTTCCTTGCCTAAAGAGAGTTTGTATATGGCAGAATACCCAAATCCACCCCCAAAGTATAGCGGCAGGAACGGATCCACCCTCGAACAAAAAACGGGGACAAATCCACCCACAAAGTTTTTGATTTGGACAAATCACTCCAAATTTAACATGTGACGTCATTTAACATCAGCAATCTGTTAATTTGACGTCATTTGATGTCAGCAATCCGTTAACGAATTAACGAATTGCTGATGTCAAATGACGTCACACGTTAAATTTGGAGTGATTTGTCTAAATCAAAAAACTTTGTGGGTGGATTTGTCCCTGTTTTTTGTTCGATGGTGGATCCGTCCCTGCCATTATACTTTGGGGGTGGATTTGGGTATTTTGCCTTTGTATATTGTGTTTGTGAAATAAGAGTGTAGATAATAAAAATTGTATCAAATCTTTTTGGTAGAAATGGAGGCTGCCTATTTATAAGCTTTTACAATGTAACTGGAAAATAAAGTGCAAGACTGTTATGAATTTAAAATAAATCTTGTCGGTTACAAAAATGAAAAGGCTGATAAGTAAATCGTGCATCTCACCGATTACAAAAAATATAATAATAAAACAACAGGTTGTAATATTAAAATATTTGAATTTGATTTAGAAACGCACAAATCCATTCTTAAAGCAGGAAGGTATGAATTTGTAACTGACACAAGATTGATTTTTTGGAAACAATGAATTTGTAACCGGCTGAAATTGATTTTGAAAATAATGAAATTTGTAACTTTTAATTAAAATCTTCAACATATAGGTGAGCGAGGGTTGTGTCGAAACTTTAAAGTGTACTAATAATCTCCTTAAAAGCAAAAATGATGCCAAAGGACTCGTACCAGTATCCAACATTTAATGCAGGATTTCAACTACTAAAATTTTCCTAATTCATGACTAAAAGTCAAAACACTCAAATTTCCTATCTAATTAAACATTAGATGGAAAACTTTAAATTGTTGATGTTGAAAGATAATCTTAATACACATGATTCACTCACAATTACTCTCCATCCAGCTTTTTCACTTCAATTTCTTTCGCTTGAATCAGTTACTCTACTCAAATCAATTAAAACCAACCAATACAAACGACTAAAACGTTGAATCAAGTAATTGAACAATAATCACTAAAATAGAAATCAAAGTACATATTAATTAAAAAGAACCCATATGACTAGAAGCTCCTTCAATATTGCATTAGATATTTTGCTGAAACCTCTTAAATCTTATTAATATCTTAGTTAGCACTGGACAACTTTTT